TCAAAGATCATCGCGCTTTGTCTCAAGACAGCGGATCCCAGCCGGAGATGGTCAAAAGCTCTCTTGGGAATTACTATTGCAAGACAAGCCTCGGAACAATTCTGACACATGTGAGTCACGCTTACAAGGTGCATTGAATACGCTTAATTAAACTGCCACGCAGGAGATGGCCAATCCAATGGTTCGCCCTCTGCTACATTTGTATCCGGAGAAGAGTGCGCCACACCTGTCTGAGGCCCGTCAGGCTGACAGATGGTTGTCTGAAGTCGAGCCCAAGTATGCCGGCATCATGGCGCGCGATGCTGAGGGACAGCAAGACTATTACATACACGAGCCGTGTCTCGCTGACCTCGATGGCACGGGAAAACCTGCCATAGTAATGCCCGTTCGATTCTTCATGAAGAACGGCTCGATGCACGCGCAAGCACATTGCATGACAGTGCTCGAAGACGGCTTCGTCATTGAAGCAGGCCGAAAGCGGGACTGTCGTGATGTGCCGCTCTCTGCACTCAAGTTAAGCTTTCCACGGCTCCTTGAGTCATTTGCGCTCTATAAACTACCGTCGCCAGACCAGATTATAGGTGCGCAGCATCACTAATGTTTGATGGTTGTTCTCATCTCCGATAGGCGTTCGGCGTCATAAATGCAGCTGTCAAAGAAGCCAGACAACTTCAAGTTCGCGTCCCTGTCGACATATCGAGAAGTGGGAACATCCTCCCCTCAACGCATGGCGTGCGAAAGCCCAGGGCCGTCGTGTTCTGCCCTTGCCGTTATGGATGTATTGTGATGACACTTCTGGCAATAGCTCTAAGAAATGGAATAAGCATAACTCGTTCCTGTTTGTGCTGGCAGGATTGCCGCGTGAGCATGTCCACCTACCCTATAATATCCATTTCCTATCAACGTCAAATGTTGCCGCTCCACTTGAGATGTTAGAGGGTATCTCTGCGGATCTAAGGTGCGTCTTTCCGATCAATGCAACGCAACCTACCATCTCATGTATCCGGCTCCTTTAGAGAGCTCCAAGACCACGGTCTCGTCGCTTGGGACTGTGTATTTAATGAAGAAGTTATCTACGTTCCGTGGCCATTTGCATTCCTTGGAGATAACCCAATGCAAAGCGAGCTAGCCTCCCATGTCGGCATGACAGGAAAGTTCTTCTGTCGCGTTTGCACAGGTGGAGAGAAGGACACGTCCAGAGGCCCAACATCAGCTCAGGAACAGCATCGGCTTCTTTCAGCATTTCTCACACTTGGTGCGCCTCGCACACGGGAGCACACTATTGCAGAACTTCGGAAACAATGGGACTGCGTCGAGAGTGGTCGACCATCCCGCGTAGATGCTACGGCAACACAATCTGGTGCAAAGGACAAGCATCTTACTGCGTTCCTCGAGCAGCTCACAGCAGAGCTCGCAAAGCTCAAGACCCAAAATCAAGACGAAGGACGTCCCGCGAGTGCCGGATTTCGAGAGCTGCTCGACCAACTTCTTGATGGGCGAGCACCAGAAGATATTCTCAATCCTATATTTACTCTTGATGGTACGTTTGTTTGCAACCCACTGTCTTAGGATACTCAACTTCTTGTTGCAGATATTGATCCAAACGCAGACACACCAGTAGAGATACTACATGTTGTCTTGCTAGGCTTCGCGAAGTACTTCTGGCGTGATGCCGTCTCCAGGCAGTCTGCTGCCGGTAAACAGACGTTGAAGGCCCGCCTCTCAAGCCTTAATGTCTCCGGTCTTGGTCTCTTCGATCTGCAAGGCTCGACGTTCGTCCAATATGCAAAGTCTTTAACAGGCCGCGATTTCCGCGTGATACTCCAAGTTGCACCAGCAGTACTCTACGATCTGGTCCCGCCAGAAGCATATGAAGCCTGGCTAGCCTTGTGCCGGCTTTGTCCGTTAGTCTTCCAGCCAGAAATCCGCGAGCTTGACAGCTACCTAGTTATGCTGCAGGAAGCTATTGACGATTTCTTGGCCGCAACAGCTCTATGGACGACTCAGTGGTTCAATAAACCGAAGTTTCATCTTCTTCTCCATCTCGTGCTCCATATTCGCCGCTTCGGACCTGCTATTCTTATGGCAACGGAAGGCTTCGAATCGTACAACTACGTCATACGTAGTCGCAGCATTTTGTCCAACCGACATGCACCAAGCAAGGATATTGCCCACTCAATGAGCTTTACCCATGCTGTCCGCCATCTTGTCAGTGGTGGCTTCGTAACGACTCAAGAGGGACTACGACGTCAAGCCGGAATGTGCGTTCAGGCACTCGCACATGATCAGATCTTTCTTCAGCTTATGGGCATGGCACATCTCGATGCAGCCTCAGACAGCAAGCTCTCTTGTACGTCTTAGAGGATACGATTCCCTCACGTAGCTAACATTGAATGATTTTTCAGTGAACACACAGACTGTGAAGGGCGCAGCACTCATCCCTCGAAGCAAGTCTCTCACAGCGTCTGTCTTGCCAACCATCAGCGAAGCTGAAGGCGGAGAGGCTGATGA